CTGGAACTACAGGTGCATGCTACCATGCCCAGCTAATTTTTTGATTTATTGTAGAGATGAAGTCTCACCAAGTTGCCCAGGCAGGTCTCAAACTTGCGGGCTCAGGCAATCCACTCACCTCAGCCTCCCAAAGCACGGGATTACAGTCTGAGTCACTGAGCCTGACTAGGAATGGTTCTTATTTGTCTTTGTTTATCAGATCTGTTACAGACTGACATGTGTAAAATGAAAGATCACATTTAGATGTTGAAGCATTGCTAAACTGCTATAAATGTTTCTAAATGCCCACTCTCCATTTCTGTACCTACCTTGTTGTGAATTTGCCCACAGACCATACTTCATAGCAATGGTTTAGAAGACAAGTGAAAAAATAAGCACAGAGGACATTTTCTAAAAGTAATGCTGATTTTAAGTCATTCTTAGAGATGAAAGGACAGTTGATAATTGAGCTTAGGAAATGTAATGGAAACACCTTTCACTTATAAACTCCCTAAGGTTATACAGAGCAGATGATTGGAAGGATACAGGATGAATGATATTCACTTGTGTTGCTCCAAGGTAAAAGAGATAAAGTTAGCAGTTGCCTATAAACTGGAGTAACCCAAGTCAGTCTTTGATAGGCAGAAACCCCTGCTTGAGTTTTCCCAGTCATTTTCTGCTATTAGTTCCACACAAATAGATTTCTCACTGATTTGCTCATAAAAAAAACAGCATTGTGGATAAGTCCTTGACCACACAAAGACAAGCTTTGCATTAAGTTTGGTTCAGAAAGATCTATTCCTTCCCAGCAGTGGTGAAGAGTAGAAGTTGAGAATGAAAGAAAGTGAAACTACTGTCTAAATTCCAGGACTGACAGTAGAGCTCTACACAGACATGTGCTCAACTCGCCAATGATGAGATTAAGTAGCTACATTATCAGTGTGGAGGTAGGCAAGAAGATGCACTGGAAAGAACACCGCTTGGAGTCAGAATAATAAAGAGAAATGGGAAATAGCTGAGATTATGAATTCAGAAGCTCTGGGGTTAAATCCCAACTTGGCCACTTACTGGTGATGAGTCTTTGGGCAAGATCCTCTATAAGCCTCAGTCCCTCTATCTGTAAATAGGGATAATAATATCCCTAATTCACAGGATTGTTATGAAGATTATTATAAAATCACTAGCACAGTGCCTTGCATTATCAACAGCTCGTTACTTAATTTTCCTGTACCTGAGTTTTCTTCCTTGTAAATTAGAGGTATCACGATCTTATCAAATTAGTAAAAAGATTAAATGAGATCTTTCACCAGTACAAATGATACACTCAATATATGTTTGCTGAATTGACCACATAAAACCAAAGACTTTTGAAAGTCACAAAATGATATAAACGAGCACTATAGAAAAGATTGCACTCTTCTGGCTGTAAGTAAAGAATCAACTTGTAATGAAAACTTTAGGAGGATGAAACGACCTATTTAAATACAAGTTATTTGGTCATAATTTGGATGGCATTATCTTACCTGTATCTAAACCCTGTCGAAGCTCCTTGATCTTATTAGTTGAGCCAGACTTTCGGTAAATCCCTTCTGTATACAGTCCATGCATTTCAATGTAGTTTATAAGCTTTTCCACCACTAAAGGAACAGTTCGGTCTTCACTGGTCAAACGGGACAGTTCTACCCCAAACTGTCGAGATGACAGCTCTGGATCATACTAAATAGAAGAAAAGGGTTTATTTCTAAATGCACTGAAACATGTTTAACACATTCTCCAAGAGGGATAACTTTTTATTTCCCTAAAGTTTTGTAAGCATAGCTGTAAGACTTGAGAGAAGGAAATTATGGCTAGATAAGTATAAATGAGATATCAGTTTCAATCCTTTACCACTTGGAACAGCCACAAAAAAAATAGTGGAGAAAAGAATGTGGCAAAAGGCTACTGCTTCTCTTCCTGTCAGAAATCTCTTGCCAAAAAGGTGGGAATTAGGTGTGGGAGAAGGGGGTTATGTTCTGTATGCAAACAGCTTGACCATTTACCAGATACCACTAGAAAATCTACTGAATTTATACAAATTAGAGTTGTTAATAATTTCTGAGGTAATTTTAAGAATGTTTTGCTGTTTATATAAACTTTATGAAAGTTTCACTAAAAACATATTTCATAACTAAAGGCAGAGACACACACAGACACTAGATCATTAATTAGTGTTACAGTCGATTTTTCTTGACCTTAATCTTGACTGGATCTAATATCATGTCTTATTAACCATAGGTTATATGACTGCAAAAGAACAACTTATTCTTAAGATTTTAAGTAATTCACAGAAAAAAAAACTGCCAGCTGTTTCTCTGAAACTGAAGAATTTTTTTGGAAATTTTTTGGATTTATTTCCTTCTGTGCCATTTTCCTTCCCTAACAGGACACTGTACAGTTCACTTTTTCCTTCAACCTGCATCCAACCAGTTGTCAAGTTATTTTAGTCAATCAGTACACCCTATTTTTTCTTTTCTGTTTTCAGTGACAGCACCCTAGCTCAAAACTCTATCACTGCCAAACTGGACTATTTCAACAGTTTCTAGACCACTTTTTCCAAATCCATTTTTTCCCTTTGAACATATTCTATAGTACATATAGCCTATTTTACTATCCTCAAAACCTTTCAATGACTAATAGCATATATCAAAATAAAGTGCAAACAATCTTGAGTCTGACATTCAAGACCTTACTTGAACTAATAACTCTTTTTAGTCTTACATTCATACATTTGTTACTTATGTGGCTAGATACCAGAGAAACAAAATGAGGTAAGAGACAGTTCTCCTAAGAATAGCAGTGCTAGTGTGTGGAGATAAGTAAAATCATAAACAGATTTATTGAGTATTATAGAATCACAGAAAAGGATAACTCGATCAGGAGAGACAGGGTTGGATAACAAGCAACTAATGATCTCAAAAAGCCCTGATGTTTATCCTTAGTGTTTAGAAGCAAGTGGTACATAAGTAAAGAAAGCAAGAAAACTTTTCAGGCACAGGAAACACAGAACTACAAAATTGGCAAAGCAAAGCAACTAAGGGAAGTCATCAGAGAATTTTAAATAGGGAAATATATAATTAGTTTATTAGTTCCTATCAGTATTATCAGCATTATTTTGCATCATTCATCTATATACTCTGTATGCTAGCACACATTAGAGTATTAATTTCATATCTATTTTGAAGCATGTTAAGCTATCTTAAATTAACATCAGGCAACACCTTTAAAAGTATTTCTAAATCTGAGACAGAATAGAAAGGACACTTAATCTTGGAATCTTCAGAGGATGCATGTTATTATAAAATTCTTGCATTGTCACTACATGAATTTGGGGAGTTTCTCATTTGCAACAGGAATAACAAACTTTTCTACCTCAGAGAGTTGTTGCAAATATTACATTGATGGTACCTGATATATGAAAAATGCTCAATAAATTATCATAGAAATAAAACATAACAATGCTTGCTGCAATAATTAATTTTTAGCCAAATGTTTCACTGTTACTATGACACATACTTGCACACACACAGTCAGTTTAAGTGTATGGCTCTCCCTACGGCAATAGAAATGTTAAGACTTGTGAAAGCAAAATAAATAAATAAATAAACTACTTAAGTTTAATACCTACTTATTAAACAAAATTTTAAAGAATCATTTTATTTGAAATTAAGTAATCTAAAGCAAAGCATGCTAGAAAAGTTTCTTTCTTGAAATTAAGAAACAAATTAATCTTACTATATTCTACTGAAACAAATTTAATTCTGAGTTTTCTTTTTAAAGATGTTTTACGGAACTGGTGCGGTGGCTCAAGCCTGTAATCCCAGCACTTTGGTAGGCCAAGGTGAAAGGACTGCCTGAGCCCATGGGTTTGAGACTAGCCTGGGCAACTTGGTGAGACCTCATGTCTACAATAAATCAAAAAATTAGCCAGTTGTGATGGCGTGTGCCTGTAGTTCTGGCTACTTGGAAAGCTGAGACTGAAGAATCCAGCCTGGGTGAACGAGTGAGAATTCGACTCAAAAAAAAAGACTCAGCCTGTAATTCCAACACTTTGGGAGCCCAGTCTGTGGGCTGCCTCCCTGCTCTCTTGATGGTTTCTTTGGCTTTGCAGAAGCTTGTTAATTTAATGAGGCCCCACTTGTCTATCTTATCTCTTATGGCATGGGCACTTTGGGTTTTGATCAGGTATTGGTTGCCAGTTCCAACTTCCATAAGATTGTCTCCTGCATTTTCTAAGATTCTTACAGTTTAGGTTTTACATTTAGGTCTGTGATCCATTTAGAGTTAATTTTTGTGTTAATTTTTGGGATAGGTAGGGGTTCTGTTTCAATCTTCTGCATGTGGTCAGTCAGTTTTTCCAGTGCCACTTACTGAATAGGTTCTCCTTTCCCCAGTAGTGGGTGGTGGAGGCTTTGTTGAAGATGAGTTAGTTGAGAAATTGAAGTTTTGCTTCTGAAATCTCAATTCTATTCTATTGGTCTATATGACTTTTCTTGTACCAATACCAGGCTGTTTTGATTATTGTAGCTTTATAATAAAGTTAAAAGTCTGGGAGTGTGATACCTCCTGCCTTGTTTTTTTGGTTTTATTTTTGCTGAGGATTGTTTTGACTATTCTCAGATGTTTATGTTTCCATATGCACTACTGTATTGTTTTTTCTAGGTCTGAAAAGAATGTTGCTGGTAATTTGATGGGTATTGCATTAAACCTGTAGATTGTCTTAGGTAAAATGGACATCTTAACTAACAATGTTGATTTTTCCAATCCATGAGCATGGAATATTTTTCCACTTGTTTGTGTCATCTTGATTTCTTCAAGCAGTATTTTGTAGTTTTCATTGTAAAGGTCTTTCACATCTCTGGTTAGGAAGATTCCAAGGTATTTTAACTTTTTGTGTGTGTGTGGCTATTGTGAATGAATTGTGCTTTTTATTTAGGTTTCTGTTTATTATTGGTGTATAGAAATGTGATTGTCTTTTGCACATTTAATTTATACCCTAAGACTTTGCCAAAGTCCTTTATCAATGCAAGGAGTTTTTTGGCAAATTCTCTTGGGTTTTCAAGGTATACAATCATATCGTCTGCAAAGAGAGATAACTTGACTTCCTCTTTTCCTATTTGGATATCCCTGATTGTCTTCTCTTCTCTGATTGCTCTAGCTAGGACTTCCAAAACTGTGCTGAACAGGAGGGGTGAGAGTGGGCATCCTTGTCTTGTTCCAATTTTCAGGGGAAACGGTTCCAATTTTTGTTTAGGAGGATGCCGGCTGTGGGTTTCTTGTAGATTGCTCTATTTTGAAGTATGTTCTACCTATGCCTAGATGTTCAAGGTTTTTTATCAAAAAGGGGTGCCGGATTTTATCTAAAGCTTTTTCTGCATCTAATGATATAATCATGTGGTTTTTGTTTTTATGTCTGCTGATGTAGTTAATTGCGTTTATGGTCTTATGAATGTTGAACCAGACTTGCATCCTGGGGATGAAGCCTACTTGGTCGTGATGGATGATTTTTGACTTGTGTTGTTGAATCTGGTTTGCTAGGATTTTGTTGAGAATTTTAGCATCTATGTTCATCACAGATATTGGCCTGTAGTTCTCTTTCTTTGTTGGGGCTTTACCTGGCTTGGGTATCAATGTGACGTTAGCTTCATAAAATGATTTGGGGAGAGTCCATCTCTCTCAATCGCCTGGTCTTTTCAATAGGATTGGTATCAGTTCCTCCTTGTATGTTTTGTAGAATTCTGCTGGAAAGTAATCTGGTCCAGGGCTTTTTTTGTAGATAGTTTTCTTATGACATTATCAACATCCTTGATTATTATTCATCTATTTAGGGTCTCAATTTCTTCTTGTTTCAACCTAGGGAGGTGTGTGATGTCAGAAAGTCCTCCATTTCCTTTATGTTTTCAAGTTTGTTTCCATATAATTTTACATAGTAGTCTCTGATAATCTTTTGTATTTCTTCAGGGTCAGTTGTGACTACATCTTTTGTGTTTCTGATTGAGTTTATGTGGACTTTTTCTATCTTTTTCTTCATCAGTTTGGCTAGGGGACCATTGATCTTGTTGATCCATTAAAAGAACCAGCTTTTTGCTTCGTTGATTTTTTTGTATTATCTTTTTGTCTTCTATGTTCTAGATTTGGGCTTTTATTTTGGTGATCTGGATTCTTCTTCTGAAGTTAGGGTTTTGTTGGTCTTGCTTTTCCAGCTTCCTTAAGTGACTTGCTAGGCTGTTAACTTGTGATTTTTCCATTTTCTTTATGTGTGCTTGTAAAAATATGAATTCTCTTACTACTGCTTTCATGGCATCCAAAACCTCTGGGATGCCATGAAAGCAGTAGTAAGAGAATTCATATGTTTAGGATGGATATTTCTTGTTGATGGATTGAGTCTTTTATCATTATATAGTGACCTTCTTCATCTTTTAAATTTTTAATAGCTAAAAAAGTATTTTGTCTGAGATCAAGATCGCAACTCCAGGTTTCTTTTGTCTTCCATTTGCCTGAAATTTTGCTTCCCATCCTCTTTGAGTCTGTGAGTATCCTTTCTGGTGAGATGAGTCACTTGGAGACAATATATTGTTGCCTCAACATATTTTATCCATTTTACCATTCTATGCCTTTTCAGTGGTGCATTTAGTACATTCACATTCAGGTTAATTATTGAAATGTGAGAGTTTATCCCT